TGCTGGTAAAATGTGTCTCTGAGCACCATGGTGCTTATAATGGAGATACAGCAGGCAGTTATTACACTTAAGCGGACACAGCAGCCATTAAAGGATACAAAAATGAGACTCTTGGTAGAAAGAAATGCGAATGTTTCTTGCTCCTATTTGGGTTCTATTGTCCTCATTCATTCGGTGAGTTATTGCCTGAATACTATATCTGCTTCATGAGAAGAGAGACAACATGACAGGATCTAAGATCTAAACAGTTTTACCTGCTAGAGAAAACGTACTTTGATTTCAATTCCAAGATGAAAGTGTGAAATCGGCTTGAATCGGGCAGGAAACCTGACAAAAACGCCGACATTGCACGGTTTGATCCGCACACCTTTGGGTCAAACTCCGGTTCTCTATTTCCTACACGTCGGCTCGCTGAAGGTTTCCTTCTTGCTCGCTGACTTGTTATGTGATGTGGTCAGCGTGTGAAGTGAGAGGCGTTCAAGGTTGATTCAGACATCAGACAGGAAGCCTCGGACGAATGTTAGAAGACGCTCTCACTCCCATCCTTTTCAAAGAGGCCCTCTTCATCTCCTCGGCCCTCCTGCTGATCCCCCTCATGAGCACAGGGAGGTGGGGGGCCGACCCCTTTACTGACTACCATCTTTCATCTGTCTCTCGCCTTTTCTGTCTCTTGCCTTTTTTGTTTGTCTTTGACGAAAGAGACATTAACAAAGGATTCACATCACTTTTTCTCATTTTGTGGTGTCACAAATTGCTCCAATGATGTGTTCTAAACACTAGCATTAGCTTTTGAGATGTTAGTCTCGACTGTGCTTCAAGCGACAGGACTGGGACGCTAAACCTACCTTAGAGACAATATTAAAAGTTCTATATTTTGAAGATGAGATTTCCTGTTGGTTAATCTGTAGTTTTCTAAAATCCAAAGCGACTTTACAAAATGTAACAGCTACCCGTGTGATGAGTAGCATGACGTTTTAGGTGATGATAGTGTTTGTACTGACTTGTAAATTAGTTCAAATTTGACACATTGTGGCTTTAAAGGAATATTTGAACAAAGCACAAAAAGTCAAAGAATACCCAAATAGTTATATTGGAGTTAATGGTGCTCGTGCCTTCAGGTTTCACTCGAGGCAACATTTTTTTTTTGTCAAAAGACAATGACGGGATTGCTGGAGTTATAAAGTAATAAAGAGGAGCATGTGGGGGGAGAAGAAAAACGTGGTTAGAGACGAGAAAGAACACACACACACACACTTCCTCAGGTTATTGTTACACTCTGCTTTGAGCCACACAGCCTGACTTCTTATTTAATACTGAAGAACATAAAGAAAGCAAGCGGGAGGAGGGGAGGAGGTGGGAGCGGGGCACTCACCTGGGGCCTCTCATTGATTTGCGTCTCCTTTTGAGCGTCTCTTTTATTTACACGCAACTTTATTTATTCAGAGCTGCGTCGGCGTTCAAGAGGAGTCTGCCAATCACAATGCATTATTGACGAGGATGCCGTCGACTTCTCCTGGCTCCCATCTCCACCTCTCCTCTCCTCTCCTCTTTCTATTTCCCTCGTTCCCTCTCCTTCCTTTTCATCTTCTTTCCATTTGTCACCCCACCCCTTTTCCGCTGGCCATTGCCTCTTATCTGATCACCTGTGTCCTTCATTTGCCTTCTTCCTTCCTCTCACCCTCCTGTGATCTCCCATCTCCCATTTTAGTCCAAACAAAGATGAATCACTCCTCCATCTTACTCGATTTGGAGATTATTCTGGAAATGACACATTTAGTTCTCCCTTTTGTTCTCAATCGATGTTGCAAAACGTAATCACAGTGGTCTCCTAAATCTGAACCCTTCTTATCTTCAGTACTGGCACATACAGAGACGTTTCCTTCCAGTGAGAAAGCGACTAGGAAAGCAACACATCTGAGGCAAACAACAAAGAGGCTCCAACTCCACCTTGATGTGAAAAGCCCAGCGGAGCCCATCTGACCACATGACTGAAGGCTCTGGATGCATCCTCCTCCTCCTCCACTTCAAAAGGAAGTGGGGTTCATTAAAGAGTGAGGAGGCGGCACAAATGGATGAGCGTTTGTCTTCACGTGGGCAAAGGGACACACTCAGCAAAAAGCCAGCGCTTACTTCCACACTCGGACACAGAGGGGGTATCTGTCATTATGCATTTCACATGTAAACAAAAACACACACCAATGTACCCACAAGCACTCACATAGGCTGACACCCGTGTGCGGAGGTGAAGACAAGGGGAAGTATGCTAATTAGAGCCCAGCATGTTGCAACAATGCACAACAGATAAATAAACCAAGCGCAAGTCAGCAAAACTGTTGAGCCAACGGTTCTTGTCGGCAAATTGGACCGCCGAGAGGCGTTCGTGTTGGTCGCCACCGTGGCCACGCGTCCTTATGTCTGTCAGCCTTCAGCCGAGGAGCGGCAGGTTCAGTTGTACTTTATTATCTGCATCGTGGCTCGGTAATTAGTCAGCCGTGTAAATCAATCTGTTCCTCTAGTGATTAATTATTGTTTTAAATCAGCATAAATAATATGATTGGACTCAAATTCCTTAACAGCCAATGGACCAAAAAGGACTGATAATAAGGTTGTTAATGCTGCTTTATGGACAGTCGCCCACGCAGCCTGGATAACAGACGGAAACAACAGTGAGCCAGAAACAATCACATGGAATAAGATTAGACGAGTACATTTTCTTTAGTTCTATACTTGGATATAATTATAAGAAGATTTCTACCTTTGCTACTTTACTTCACCTTAAATAAATTGAATGATCAACTGCTTTATAATAAACTAGCTACCTTAAAAATACATTGGTAATAACAATCCAACAAATTCTTCAACTTTTCCTTAGTACAGCACGACCGGTCAAAAGCTTTATGGGGTTTCTCTGCGACAGGAATAATTACAGAGCAGAAAATAATCTATAATAGATTTTCTGTGAATTGACTGATTCATTGACAAACAGTTCCAGCTCTACGGGCGTGTACACAATCACTCTGTACAAATAACTAACATGTCAATATCTCGTTACTACAAATGTACAGGTTAGAATTGTTAAAGCAGATGTAATGATAATCAATCACCTCAGTCAGTTTGCATGTGCGCTCCTCAGAGTAATGGTCACTGAGAGTTTTCAACACACACGGACCTTTACAGGAGGCGGATGAGTTGTTCTCATTGAAGGAGGCTTAATTTAGCATCTCCTTGAGTGGTGAGTTATTTTCTGTGGGTTCCCACTGAGTGGCAGATACCACCATGATGAAGTTGGCAAGAATGTGTCTTGAAGGGAGTTTTGTAATATATTTCAAAGACAGAAAATGCTTTGACCAAATACACACTTATGACATATTGTCTGTGCGCCATGTATTTATTTTGCTTTACTGGTCTGCATATTTCTGTCTGGATGGAGCATTCCCTCAAAATGAATTGTGCCTTAAAGGCATTTTAAAGACCGTTTAGGCTCAAGCTGTGTGGAGCATCTTCCCAAACGCACACATGCATGCACACACGCACACACAGTCTGTCAAGAGATGCTGTGGCTTCAACGAAAACGGGAAATACACAGCTGTGAAGAGAATTTCCCATGTGGTTCCTCTGCAGTCATGGATACAGTTTTAAAGTCACCTTCAGAGCAGAAGGACACAATCGGAAGAAAGCCAAACAGCAACCTTAAAACCAGGTCTCTCATTTGACTAATTCTAGTCAGTAATTTAACTCTAAAGCAGGAAGTAGCGCTAAAGTAAGGTTAAGAGTAAAGGTGTTCAGGTCAGAGAGGCACCCAGAAAGCATTCAAGAGCTGTGTCGTAAGAATGTGGAAACAATTGTCAAAACCTCAGTGTATTCCGCAAAATTTTCCATAAGGGGATATGAGAGGAATAAACGTCTAATAGTTGTTGCTAATACAACAGGTGATCAGCTTTTAATCCATTTGAATTATGATGCGATGTCATCACAAATTATGCCCATTGACTTAACATAGGAAGCTTTCTATTGGCTGCTGCCTGCTGTCAGGCTGATGGAATAAAGTGATTTTCTACACAGGGCTTAAGTGCTTTTTTATGATCATTGTAAACATATCAATCAAGAAGATGGATGAATTGTTGAGATGATAAATAGTCACTGCAATCTGAAGAGCCTCTGGTGTTAAATTGAAGTCAAAGTGCGTTGGTGAAAAAGGTCACCTTTTCCCCCATACTGGTGCAGGTCAATGAGGATTTGATGAGGACTTTGGCATTCACATTTGTGATTTATTATTCATTTAATTCCTTATTCACTAGGATCCAGACCAAAAGCTTTTCTGTTTCTCTAACGCACACACACACACACACAGACACAATCGTTAATCAAAGAACTGTATATTGACTCTACGGATGTCCTTCATTAGCGTTATGGTTAATCCAATCTGGCTCAAAATAAAACATAGGAAATGTGCACTCGGTAGAGGGCCGGTCTGCAGCGGCTGAGGGTGGAGAATGCAGTCGGCCGTCTTGCGCCAGTTAAGAGTAATGAGCGAGGAGTCAGCAGGCAATCAAAGGCAGAATAAAACAGGTCCTTGAGCATTCAGCCAAAATGTCTGTGGACAGACACAGAGGTGCACTCACTCACTCTAGTAAGCGCATGATTACTCATCAAAGTTTCACTGAATAAAACTTTGCTTCATGTGGAGGTCCATCATTTGGAACATGGTGAAAAGGGGGACATAGAGGTCGATTGGGGACCTCGAGACATTTAGCCTGTAAGACTTTTGGCCTTATTATTGCATATTGCTGCCTGTTAGCGAAATACCCCCCCATCCCCCCTCCCACTCTGTCACTTGCTGCATCGACAGCGTCGTTTCTGCCTCCTGTTGGATTGATGCGAATGCAGATGAGTTTGTAGTGTGGGAGGACGGGAACAGATGGGTGTAAGAGCAGCAGCAAAAGAAACAAGAAAGGAGGCCCGAGTGAACATGTCAAATAAAACCCACCTCGACACTTTGATCTGTTCAGATTTTTTTAATTTTCATTTCATTTTTTTTTTCCATAATAAAGCCCGGGGGAGTCTCTAAAAATCCAGTCGAGAGCTCTAAAGAATATTTTATGAAAAATAATCTTGGAACCCCTTATTTTTGTGCTCTGTCCTCCCGCTTCTCCTCCTTTCCTTTTTGTGACCAGCGATGATTGCATTGACCGACGCCGCCTCAGACTTTTGCTTCGGTCTGATAAATTACTCTGTCCATCATTGGAGGACGAGAGTAAGAGCGAGGGAGATAACCTGGTTGTCCATCATCCTTTGTCCAAGTGCAGAGAGGAGATTGGATATTGACCCAAGGTTGCCTTCTTCAAGCCGCCAACTTATTTGAAGACTTTGTCATGGAATTACACAATAGTCCCAATGCTGTTCGCTGCAGTCACATGCTTCTTCAAGTACATATTTTCCAACTTAAACATCTTATTGTTTGGTGTAACACAGCTCCAAAAGATGGAAAACCTCTTGTAACAAGGGTGATTCTACAGTTGAAGGTTTGTTGGCAATGGTAACCCAGTTTCTTCCTCTTATCATTAAAGTCTTACTCCTATTTTTTAAAACTCTGGTAAGTTACAGAAAGCTGTTATAACAACCACAGTCCTCATTTATAACCTGCCGACCATTCCAACCTGCTTTTAGCTCTTTTAATCCATGCATGCCTGTTCCCCACTATTCTACATTTACTGTTTCACGGCGGGAGGGGGGGTTAGCAGCCTCTCATCATCATCATCATCATTCATCACAGCTCCGCACACGTCTCCACCTCAAACCTTGACGCCAATCAGTATCTAATTCTTTAGTGTGTGTCCTTCGCCCGTCCCCTCATTATAGACAGTCTCTGCACAAAGCCACCTGGCCACGACGGAAGTCTCTGCACGGGCAAAGGCGTCTGTATTTGGGGGAGTGTCCCGCACAGCTGAAGAGGAGGGGTTCCTGCTGGAGGCCACACTCCCGCCGTACCTCCGAGAAGGCTGGAAGGATGTGGTTGACCTCGGAGTCGACCACCTCGCACTGCACCTTCAACCTGAGGGGGGGGAAGAGAAGGAGAACGGTCTGCATTCTCTCTGAAATAACAGTTCACCGAGTTATTTTTATATGGAATAAGTAGCAGGAGAAATAAAACCACAAGCGAAACAGGAAAAAAGGTTTTTCGCTTTCATCACACTTCGGATGTCAATTAAAAAAACAGTGAACGAAATTTAGTGGAAAAGTGACAAGGAAGGTGGATAAAGTGCCAGGAAGAAAAGTCTGCTCTCTGACAGAAGTTGAGTTTTGAAGAGGAGAGACATAAGAAAAAACAAAAGAAGAGCGGCAACACTGAGAACTAAAGACTAAAGACTCTGGGAGTGTCGGAGCTGAAAGTAGTCAGTGGAGGGATGTTTTGGAGGAGACACTCAGACACCAGCAGTCTTTGTGGTTCAGCTGCCTGCAGCTGATATAGTAGAGTAAATAAATACCTGGTGAGACGAGGCCTCACATTGCTAATGTAAGAGACGTTATCCATCCGGGCGATGCAGAGACGTACGGCAGATTTAGCTCTTACCTTGCGTGGATGAATTGTTTTTATGCTGAAGAAAAATTCGAAAATTGCCCATGTTTCCAATTCCTCTTTATATTCTACTGAGACACAAACTGAAAAGAGCTTTGCTGACAGTCGATGTTCTCCAGGAAAAAGCTCAGAGAAAGAGAGTACACGATCGGAGTCAACGCATAAAGCATTATCACTTTGTGGGGTCGACAGAAGTCCAAAGACTGCAGATGAGGAATTGTGACAGGTGGGGTCTTACCCTCGCAGGGCCTCCTTGTTGTTGATGAAGCGGAAGTGAGCGGGCTCGCAGATGAAACCCTCTGAATGGCACGCCTCGACACAGGACTGGCCCTCTTGAGATATGAGCAGTCTGAGGGAGCTGAGAGGAGGCCAGGCGGCGGGCGCCGTCACGTTGGACGCCCAGCCAAGGGCTGTGGAATTGGCCCGGGGCACAAACATGGAACCTGTAATCCTGCTGCCACCAGCGGACAGCTGTCTGGAGAAGTTGGCTGGAACGAAGGGGGGCTCGAGCGCACAGAAGTCCTGGAGGGGGAAGATATTGTGACCTTTATTTGTGCAATCGTGTTATTGTGCAAGACTGTCGGAGGGACACCGACGGCAAGAGCGAGACTTTTATTCTGCTGATAAGCAGCTTAGTAGAAAGCATATTGAAGGAGGGGTTGGTGTTTGTTCCTCTCATAGTTTATTGGTATGATGCGATGTGATGGGCAACAAATCTATAGTAATTATTTTGTGAAAAGCTGCATTCCACACTTCATATCGAGCTCAACCCCTCAACTCCTGCTTCTGCCATGGATTAGCAAGAAAACAGTAAGGGAACAAAGGGACACATTTTGGAGAATATCCACTTGATTTGATTAAACATCATTTTAGCTACGCATTACAAATCTGTTTTTTGAGATGATCTCCTCACAGGGAAAGGAGGAACCATCTCAGCAGGTAGAAACGGTTTCAATATGGGCACAAAATTATTGTTATAAGAATAATACGTGAATCTACGCCTTTAACAGTCAGGGAGACTCAGATAACAACACTTCTTTCCCATAGTCGCCGACATCAAGCTGTGAATTCACAAGAGCAGCCATAACCCCCCCGCGTTGTGGCGCTGATACTTGAGCGCCAGTAGCGCAGCTGACACAATGTTCCCATTGGAAACGATAAGGGTGCTGAAAGCTTCTACAACACATATAAGAATGGCAAAGGAGCTTAAAACATGTAAAACATCTGAGAAAGAGTGAGGCAAGTTAGAAGATTAGCCAGCCTCAGCTGCTACGTGTACATCACTCATATCTACAGGGTTGACCAAGCAGTGGTCTTCAAGGTCAGGCTTGATTAACAGTTTCTCCTGTTCCTCTTTCTAAATGTTGCAGTAGAGATTTCAGTATCCAAAATCAGCTGCCGGACAAGAGCAGACGAAGGTTGTTGAGAGACACCTCTGCAGTTTGTTTGACATCCAGGGCGAGAAAGTAAAAAAAAAATAGAAAGAAGAAAAGTTCTTTCATTCGTGTCCTCCATCATCCTGATGCCCACACCTCTGCGCCTTCTCCTTACTCATCACTGCTCATTAGTGTCAGGAGAACCTTCTGCTTTAGAGCTCCAGGGCAGATATGTGGTTTTTAATGAGAGTTAGCATGTAGATTCATCTCAAGTCTACATACGTGGAGTACAGGGATAATGACTCTCACACACACACACACACACACACACACACACACACACACACACACACACACACACACACACACACACACACACACACACACACACACAGGAGCAGACATGCACAATGTTCGGGGTGTTGAATGCACACGTTGATGAAATATTAAGCAGAGCGGGGAGTTTGAGAGCTGGGGGAAAGAGTATGTATGGGAGTGAGGGAGAACACGGTCTCCAGGTGGACTGAACCTCACCTGATTCTGTATGTAGGCATGAACTCTCTCCAGCATCCCCTCACAGGTGTACTCGTAAGGCAGATATGGCTCAACCTGTAAATCACAAACATAGTTCACACCGCATTCATATTTTGCACACAGCAGTGCTTCTTCTTGCTGGCAGTTCATTGTTCTCACTAATTGCAATAAGTTGTCTCTGCTCTTTGTTGGTTTTAGTGGGAGAAGCCTGCTTTGAAACTCATTAGACTTTATTTACATACCAATAGATCATGCCCTGCTGTGCTGCCTGTGAAATAATACTTCAGATGATCCTAATTAGTGATGAGCTGTAAGCGAAGAAAGAAAACTTTTTTTTTTTTAATTGACACAAATGCTGGACGAATGTAAAGTAGCTGCAGTGCTTGGATTAACACAAACTGATTTAGCTGATGTAATAGAGGGGTTTGTATTGTTGATATCCTAATTAGAAATCTGCCATACATAAAAATATCAATCAGAGCTTCATCATTGACTTAAAGGAAGTTGTTGCAAAAGTGTAACAAATGGAGAATTAAACAAATCTCAGCATTGATCTCAGCAGAGATCTAAGCGGCTTGTCTTTAACGCCTCTGCAAATGACACACGACTCACCAAATTGCATCTCCAATCGGGAAAATCTAAGCGGTCACGATGTTCAACCATGTGTGAAATCAGACGTGGCCCAATTCAAGTGAAGAAAGTACGCAGGGATGATGCAATTTAAAAAAGTTCTGCGCACCGAAAATCTGATCAAAGCCTTGTGTTAATTTACTTTGTAGGCCGGAGGAGAGAGTAAACTCGTGCATGGGGGGGGGGGCAGAAACTCACAATCTACTGGGACAGACAATTTGCTCACCCAGGCAAGGTGACTTAGAGCTTTTTGTCATTCACAGGAGCAATTTAAATAAGTATTTTACATCAGCATAGTAAAAGAAACATCCCACTTTCATCAACTGGATGTTGAACCATAATTTGGCCAAAAATTGTGCAAAAATCTTCAACAAACAACTGGATGGAAGGAGAAAGACTGAAGCTCGGAGAGGAGGCACAAAAGGAGCGTAAAAACTGAAACCTGCGAAGGGAGAGGAAGAAAAAAACACAATGAATGAGATGAAGAAAGGATTTATTGGAACATGAGGATTTGTCAGGGAGCCAGAGATTGCTTTGTCCTGCATGACTGACCATAAGCCTCTGAAACACACACACACACACACACAGCGTGGCTGTGTGAGTGTGTGTGTTGTAATGTGTGGGTGAGCCTCTGAGTGGTGTTATGAATGCGGGGGGAATGATATTACTGGTCTGTGTGTGTTTGCTGGGGCACCGTGCCTCCAGTGGAGGGTGAACAGGTCCATCAGCGCTCTCCACGTGCTCACACAGACGGAGCTGCTGGGCTGTGTCTTGTCTGACGACGCAGATGAGACACAAGCAGGCAAGCGCTACCTTTCCTCGACGCGCCGTGCACGCTTCCTGTAATCTGAACCACCGCTCTAATGTTTGATCGAATGACCCCCACACCCACCCACACTGTGCCTGACATCGCATTTTGTGACTCCGCTCACAGGCGTAACTGCGACTTGTGTGTTCAGTTAGGCTTCAAATATGGTCCTTATGGTTGAAATGCACCGATTGTAAGTCGCTTTGGAAAAAAGCGGCGACTAAATGAGAAGTAATATATTTTGACAAAATGCAATGTTGACAGTGATCCACTGCTTAAACCCTAAAAGTGTTGATTTCACGCTCTTAATGCACTCGAAATCTTAACTCTTCTAAACATACTTAGTTTAAAATATGATCATACTTTTTGTGTCCCTTTATTTGAACGAGAGCAGATTGATTTTGAGACCATTCAGACGTTTACTTGGTCTCAAACGACCCTCCTCCCTCCTTCTTTTTAGGATTTAATCTCCCTGGTTGACTCCTTCATTAACCTCTCTCCCACACTTAGCGGTTCCTACAATCCTCACATTCTCTCTCAACCCATAAACCCTGCGTGTAAAAATTCAGCTCTCTGCATACTTTGATTGTCTACACGTTGGCAAAGCTACTGCAACGTTTAATGTTTAATAAAACGCTTCCAGCGCAGACAAGAGGCTCAGCACCTCAACGTAGCTTTAGCACAGCTCCCTTATGGTAAATGGAAACAAAAACTAGAAAACAGAAAAAGAACTACTATAAATCTCACCTCACTATGTAAACGAACAGTTGTTTATTATCTGATGTTGCAAAATTGTATTCATTTTGCAAAATTGTATTCATTTTGCAACATCGATCGCAACAGCGATCGCAACATCGCCAGTGCTCATACCCAAATCAATGCAGAGGATTTCATGAGGTGCCAGCGCAGAACATCTCCTGACATCTATGACGCGACTGGACTGACTTGACTTCAGGACAGAGAAGTCAAATGGACAGAAACAGCGGAGAGAGTCAGGCCAAGAGTACCTTGGTCCTCATGATCTCCCTGATGGCAGAGTCGAACTCCAGGGAGTTGTTGTAGTCCACCGTCATGACGTGAGGATTGCCGATGTACTGCTCTGCATACGGGTGCTGGGAGGACACCTGCAGCAAACACATGCATGGCCTCCAGTAACAGCAGCTAAAATCATTGTCTTCAATGGGAAATCGAGGGGTGTTGGATCAACCTTTCCGAACAGTAATGATGATGATGTAATTACTTATTAAGTTTTATTGAAAATACTCGCTTTAAAGCACTAAGTGGGCTATAAAAAAATAGAAGTTCTCTCCATTTTCATCAATACTAACATAGATATTATAGCAGGTGTTAGGGATTTAAGCCAGAAGTGCACCCCTAGTCAGGAAACTATAGTACGTGTAATAATGTTTAGTGTTAGAATTATAGTTTGTGTGATGTTAGATAATAGTTATTACATTAACATGTTAGATGAAGTGAATGCAATTTCAATCAAACACAATTCATAGTCATTTAAATCATATAAACACTGTACACATTAACATTCTGTCACAATGTGATGTTAAAACCTGGGGACGGATGCCAATTGCCGTTCTTTATGGATTTCTTCCAATTTTATCCCCAAAGAGGGTTTTTTGGGAGTTTTTTCTCCTGTCAGGTAATAAATGAACAACTTAATGTAAGGCAGCCGACTGAGGCAAATGTCTTGAGAATTGGACCACATGAACTGTCTTAGATCTTATGATGAAGTGTGATGAACGGTGATCATTAATGATGGGTTGTTGTAATGAAAGTGTACTAGTTATAAGATGAATACTTGTACGATGTATGCTTTGTTAAATTCACTCATTGAGGCATAAAGCCAAATGTATCTACATTGAGTGCATTGGAATGTGAGGGACAGCTAGGACAGAGAGGTTTCACGTTACAGCTGCAGCTTCACACCTCGACGTGGAAGGGACAATGAAGGAGGTGACCCTTTGGAGAAGAGGCCAATGACATTCAAATGCACCAAGGAAGACACACCTCAAGAGTTTTCAAAGGACCAAAGCGGGGAAAGACTGTTAGAATTTCTCCTGCAGCCGCGTTGATAAGTCACTTTAGACTTGCTCAGAGGATTCTCTATTTCGCGAAATATTCCACTGTTCGCTTAGTATTTCACTTTGTAATTGCATTCCTTATAACGTTGTTCAGTTATTAAATAACTTTTGATTTTTGAATTTAAACGAATTGACTCATTCGTGTCCTCGTTTCCGGCCGGGACGAGTACAAGGGAGTGAGGCCTCCCTCGAGAGCTTTCCGAAACCCTAACACAGGACCCCCATGTGCCAGACTCTTACCAGGCGCTAATGCTTTGAGCCAGTTCTTTATAAAGATCAACTGATAAATAGAGTTACTTGGCAACTTGGCCGGCAACGGAAACAGAAGTGGCCAAAACATTGTCATCGGTGGAGGAGTAATGGCCGTAATGAGCTTACCTCTCTAGATGTGGGCTTGCCCCTGAAGAACTCATGATTGAGTGAGCTGTGAGGCGGGTGAAACTTGGGTTGCAGGAAGATGCAGCCATTGGCTATTGCTTCCAGAGGGGCAGGGCCTTCGTAGGGGAAACCGAAGCCAATGAAGAGCTGGAAGAACAATAGGGTCGTTTATTCAGCAGTTATGATAATTAGTTCAAGATGTCTTTAGATCAGTATCGCGACGTGTTGTTGCGTGTGCATAGCATGGTCCGTTCCCGGGTGAATGCAGATGAAGAAGAGTCTGTAGGCACACAGAATGGCACCGGCAGTGGGAATGAAATATTCTCTTTGCTTTTCTTGCCTTGGCCTTGCGCAACAGTTGCTGCAGCTCATGCTGGGGCAGCAGGCCGTGGTTCTTCACGAAGGCCGGGACCTCCGGAGGCCTCTGGGTCTCATAGTACACCGTGCCGTGGACCTCCATGTACCTGTGGAGAATCTGCAGGAAACCTTCCTTACCCTGCTGGAGGAGGAGGGGGAAAGGATTGGTTGGTGAGATTGAGGACGGAGGGTGAAGAGAGGAAGATGTGTGGGAAAAGAACAGCAGACTGATGATTAAAGAATCGCTGGTTGGGTGAGCCGTCCGTTTGCGTGGCTTTTAGACTTTTACAGTACAGTGTGTTCATGTTTGTCATTACGTGTCTTGTTTCTACAATTGTGTCTTCAGGTCGGAAAACACAGAAATGCTAAAGGTTAGAGGTTAAAACCAACCTGCCAAACTCCTCATTTAGTTGTTCTCATCTTTTTCTCCTGTTCACGTCAGATACGAACAAGTGATACGCGATTCCAAAAATCCTGCGCTCCGCGCTGACACATCGATCAAACACTGCGAAATGCCCTGAAAACCAACACAATCGCAAAGAAAAACACTGCGTGTGTGGCTTACTCAACTTTTCAGGCGTGTTTGTATTTGGACGTCTCTGTTTTATCTACAGAGTGTGCGTGTTTCTGTATGACAGTCCAACCAGAAAACAAATGCTACTGATATAGACTTCAGAGAGAGAGAGATAAAGAGGAAAAACTAACAGCTGCAGGCTGTGAATGGTAAACACTCACATGAATGAAAATGACTTCTCTCTCATCCGGGAACCCCTCTCTACTACTGCTACTACTCCCCTGTCTTCTGTGTGTTACAAAGACACCTTTGGACACAGAGAATACACATTGGATGCCCGGATCCTACTTATTTTATTACCTAGTGAGAGAAAAATCGGCGCTACTTGACCCTGAATATAATTGATGAAATCGACAGGCTGTTTACCAAAAGGAAAAACAAAGAAAATGTAATTGAACGCAGTGAAGGGTTCAGCGGATAAATATCTAATTTGCAAAACGACTGTGCTTGCAAATGTGTGGGTGTCACTTGCACTCACTAACAGCTCTGCTTGTTTCTGCAGACATGAGGAAGTCAAGGCTGAGCACGATGACTGCGGGAACTAAAACCAAACATCCAATAAGTCTGCAAACAAAACTGTATCATGGAAGCGGAGCGTGACCCCTGCATGGGGTATTGACGGGGCCGACTGCTGTAGAGCAGCTTACTGTCTCCCTGTTCTCTGGTGTGGACCCCCGTCGCCGTAATTGGAGGCTGTAGCGATCGATAGCTTCCTCTGTGAGGATTTTCTCGGCCAATTAGGAGATTAGCCCAGGCGGTAAGTGCAGCACACAACATGAATTAGCAGAAGGAGAAACACGGGTGTAGACGGGCAGATTACATAACCTGCACATGCAGCTATCGCTCTGTGTGTCCAAGCTATCTCTCTCAACTTGCGCGGGATTAGTTCTAATGAGTATGTTTGGCTGTGCTGGTTTTATTCCTAACCTCATTTCTCAATGGCTACATTGTATCACTATATGTTGTTGTGGATCCATGAAACGAAGGATCCTTGATGTCAGACGGAGGTAGAGGAGAAACCAGCGTCTCATTTCAGCTGTTGAAACACCGGCTGGGAGCCACTTGAGAAGACCGACACAATCATTAGTGCTGCATTTCCACGGTAACACGTACATCCTTCATACGACTGAACGGACCAGTCCTTGCGCTTTCTGACAAGTAAAGAGGATAAATAGATAATTGCGGTAATACATAAAGCTCTCCAAGAATGACGGCTGATGCTGTGAATGCCGTGGTGCATCTCGAGTGCACAAATCACTTCTCTGGATCCAATGATGACAGCATGCTCGCCATGCTAACGGCACACTTGTGCTGTAGGCTGTGATGTGTCCTTAAGAGCAGTGTGTGGTGAAAGTAGCTGACTCTTACCTGAAGCTGAAGGGCAAAAATCCATCCGGATTTGCCACAAAAGAAAGAGACGGAAAAAGGAGATCAAACACGTTTCTGTATGAAGGATACAACAATGGTGAGAACAAAGAACGAGGAGCAGAAAGAGATGAATCACTAATGTACACATTGTGCCTCTTCACCAGGCTTTTGTAGATCAAGTTATTGTACTTTTATACTCCCCCCCCCCCTCAGCCCTCCATCTCGCTTCTGTGCTCGTCCCTTTGACAAGCAAGAACTATAAAGAAATCCAGGGAATGTGTTGTCACAATGAGGGAAGTGCTGCAAATGGCATCTTTACAACGGAGGAACAAACGTGCTGCTCTACAATGTGCAGAGGAACAAGCAGGCTGCTTCTGAGAGGAAAATTGCCTGTAAAATAAAACCGAAGAATTCCATTTTTTAAAAGTTTTTTTAAAAGGTTTTTTCTTTCCATGCATGGTTGTCCTCATGAGATGCAGAACATCTATTAAATAAGTTCTATAAGCATTCCCGAAATTCCCCCTTGCCCACATATATGGACAGTGTGTGTTTGTGTGTGTATTTACTGTAACTACATAAGCTTTGTGGCCCTCCAGGAAATACCGGGACTCAGTTTGAGGAAACATTGAACACGTGTAGCTCGTACCTTCCACATGCTGGCCTCCTTCCCGTACACCACAGCCATGTTGTTGACTTTGTTCTGCTGGATGCTCCTCTTCTCAGTCTCATTCAGCTCCTCCGAAACAAAGCCCATGAAGGAGTTGTCTGGCGTGTGAGCTGAACACGTGTGTGTGTGTGTGTGTGTGAGAGAGGAGTAAGGTTAAGCAGGATAGTAGGAAAGCGAGAGAGAGAGCAAACGAGAAAGAGGGAAATCAAGTTTAGTTGTTACAGAGAGACAGCGGAGAAAGATGAAGAAAAATGGCACAGAATCCTTTTTGGCTTGAGTGTAGTGGCTTCGTCGGTGTGATCATCGACCTTCTTTTGCATCCTCACTGCCAACTGTATTTTTTTTAAATGTTTATCTAAATAATAAAACTAACCCATTCTGGCCGCTGCTGCTCTTTCGGGTAATATGGAGCCCTTAATAGATGTTGAGCCAGCAGTGAAAGCTTAGGTCAGTGGAAAGCGCCGGGCAACGCGTTAATGCCGTGACGATCCTGCTGATGAGAGCTTGCTACAGCGACGTGGCCGAGAAGTGAATGTGGGAGCAGTTCGCTTGTCAGTGTTTCAGTCAAGAGCAGTGAGAAAACAGACAACATCGGGGGCGTTGAAGACAGCACGTCAGACATATTGTGCAGCATGGAGCAGAAAGAGGAACGCGAACGCGATGAAGAGCAGATGCAGCTTGAAGCTGCAGTGTTGCTGAAAATAGCTGCATTAGACACATTTATCCAAATTAATGTGGACAAGCAGGCAGACCTGTCAAAGAAAGTGAAAGCACTGTCAAAACTGGTGACAGATCTGTGTGTGTGTGTGTGTGTGTGTTTGTTGAGGGACAGTTTTAACTTCAATTCTTTGTTGAGTTTTTAAAAGTTTTAAGTTACAGAGCCAGGAGGGTGATATACCAAGTAGGTATGGGAGAGAAAAGGAACCATACGGCTTAAATTTGGAAGGTGGACAAACCCCAAATGCCACTGTCAAACGCAGCCGTATAGTGAGCTGCAGGGTGCAAAATATATTAATTATAATATTGTGAATTTGCTTATAAAAGCACTTAAAACAAAGAAATTAAATAAAACAAATACCAGATTAACACCCCATAGCTCATTAATTATCTGATTTAGTTGATCAAGAATGGACCTAATATGCCAACGTCAATATAACAGATAACAGAACAGAACCATTACTATGCTGACACTGTGTGCGGTTTGGTCCTTACGGAACATGGTCATGTACTGCCTGGCGTTGAGGTTCCAGTAGCCCCAGTTGGTCCGGTAGCCGTGCAGAGTTGCGTACTCCTCGTGATTGTAAGCTGGCTCCGTCCCAAATGTGTCAATCACTCGAATGTGACATCTGTGTAGACACGACACAACCACTTAAAGAAATATTCCTATGGCCTCGCACGTACAACATTTTCATTTGTGCTTTACGTTGTCTCCAACACCTGTTAATACATCATCATCATCATCATCATCATCGTGTGCAACCAAACTGTCCGTCGCCGGCCTTCACAATAATGGTCGGTCAAGAGAGACCCCTGTGTGTCTTAAAATGCTGACGGCAGACAGTATGACAGTATAGTTCAATGTTCCTATATCATCAAATGGGGGGAACCACTGGCCTAAGATACTCTAAATCTTATAACCGAACTCTGACAGGTCACACAAAGTAGGGGTTAAAATGTACCCACTCCGAGATCCGAAACTAAAAATTGGTCCTCACAAAGACAGCTGTACGAGTACACGAACACACACTCCCAGGAATCTCCCGATGCCCTTGTCTGTAGCAGTCTGTTAGCTCAGGGGGATTAACAGGAGCTAAAGGTGCACGACAGATTCAACTTCCTCCGCCCTGAGACTTTTCCTTGCCAGATAACAATGTGTTTCTGTGTGTGTGTCTGTGTGAGTGTGTGTGTGTAATAGTGCAGTGAGATTCTGCATTAGAACTGTCACTTTACTTTCTGCTGCACGTACACAAGGGATCTATTTTTTACATGCTGACATATTTAAACATTTTGATATCTTGAATAAATGACGATGCCACTTTTCATGTGGTAACCACGTACATACTGACATAATATATTGTTGTTATTCTTATATTCTTTTGAAGCACAGTATAATGTATTATTACCTTCTTGATGTACCAGTTCCACTTTCAAATTGCAATAAGATGTCATATTCTCTACATTAAATGTATTCTATTGTTCGAAATGTCAAAACACAGCACGTAGCTTTGTATTTGCAGGGATCTGCTGTCCATGCATTGGCTCTGTTGATTCTTTATACGTTGATTCTGTTGATTATTATCTTGTTGGGCACTTCCAACAGATTTCTGTCAACGACTGCAGCATCCAAGAAGCAAACCAAAAGTTGACAGTGAAATATGGCGGAAAGCAGATGCTAAACATGTTGTTATTTACAAAAAGATCTGCTTCTGCCGACGAGGTACTGCGGAAAATATGTCTATTTCTAACGGGTCACAGCGAGCTGACAAATTATTCACAACAATCTCCGAACCTGAAATGAAATGTTGAAAATATCTCGAGAGGTGCCGAAAGGAAGGGAAAACAAAAACAGAGTGGAAGAAGAGGGGAGGAGAAGCTGAGCTGCAAATCTACCGGCAGATCAGAGCGTCGGGCTAATCTGATTTAAACGGCTGCTCAGTGAGGCGGAACCGTCCTCCGGGGTCGAGGGACTATGGCAGGCGGGTGTGTTGGTCCCCGCTATCGAGGTTCAGCTTCGACTTCAGGGGGAACAAGACAAAACCAAGATTTGACTTGAAGAAAGCAGATCCTCTCATTTCAAGCAGTTTTATTGTTCACCAGGGACGACCTGGCCCACTGAGCAATCCGCCTTTCCAATCAGCTTTTGCCCCAGATAACGGCGTCATTCATTCATCCCGCACTGGTCCGTCCCACCTATTCAGAGGCTTCTTTATTTCCTTCTCTTTCACCTTTTTGCTTAACTGCTGCCGCCTCGAGAAACAGCACAACAAAGCTGAGAATGTTTAATATATTGTAAATATATAATACTGTGTGATATAATAAACTAATAAGCAAAGGGTCTGTTGAATGTATTAACATTGTATGAGCTTCAATGTGCGATTACATACAGCGTCATCCACTAACATACTACTATTATGTGGTAATTATATGTATCCATACATCAATATCCTGAAAAATGCCTGCTCGCCGCAGAAATGTAAGCGTTCTTTAATTCACAACTGGGAATGTTTTTTAAAATGGTAAATGATACCTTTCACACTTTCAAAAGAAATGGTTGGGTTTTACGTTCCACTACACACAGTTCGACTTTCGCTTTGTGTTATCTTTGGTCCGGTTTGGTTTCATGTGCACAATTTAAAAGCTGTAATTTGCTGAAGCTTGTGGTGTGGAGGGAACTCGTCTTTTTCATTTTGAGAGCTACCACTGCTATGGAAGGAATTGCACACTTGAAAGGTCCTTTGTGTGGTCAAATCGCCCTCTCCTCCTCTTTATCTTGAAGGACTATAAACCTCACCACTTGTGTCCCTCGTAGAACGCTTTTCAAACCCAGGTTGCAAAAGCAAGTGAAGAACAGCCTGAATGATACGTTGCACCAAGCTGGAAGGAAGCTTGAGAACATGCAAGAGAATAAAGATATTAATCGTGTCAGAGGAGCTGTTGAGGTGACGTCCAGGTTCCACCTTTGATATATATGTGTTCAGAGATGTGAAGTTGACCTTTTCCTCTTATTACGTCGCACCTATCTCGCATCCACAGATGACTGTGGTCAAGCCAACATTAGGTCATAACATAATAACCGTAACTGCATTGTCTTATTATTGTCATAACTATTGAAACACGTGTCTTCCATCTTCACATCAGTTCAACGTGACTTGAATTTACATTCTAATTGTGCAAATAGCACATTGAGATCTTGTACAGACACGGATGTAAACTACAACTTGACGGGTTGGCCAAAGCACAAGATGGTAATAGCATTTTCTGTATTTTCAGTACCTCACCCTCTTGTATGTGTGTGTGTGTGTGTTTGTGTGTTAGCGCTGTTTCTATTGTTGTTGGAACAATCGGATAGTCGGTAAAGCACTAAAAATGATTGTGACACGTGGAGGCAAACACAAGCCACGGATATCAGTGACTTTGTTGAAGAAGTATTCTTTTTGTGAGTTTCAGCAAAATGATCATTTTATCATAATCACAACCAGCTACTAACAACACAATGAAAGTTTGCCTCAAGTTAGCGGCGTGTCCTCCAGCTGGTCTTCAGCCTTACAGACTTCTTCCGGCCTTCCCTTGGGTATCTTCTCTGATCAGCCTTTTATCAGAGCACTAAATTATACCTGCTGAGAAAATCAATATGCTTGTCCTATTATCAGATAAGTGGCTGTGATTTAAGAATCTTCTATCGGTTTTCCCCATCTTTCACGAAAAGCAATGCGCTCTCGGATGCGCGCTTTGAAAACACAGCACCCCGAAGACAGGACGGCATTGTGTTGTCCGTGCACAATAAATGATTGTGGGTGTTGGTAGAAAACGGAAAAGGTAATTAAAAGGGAACCGAAGGGCCCTGAAGCTCAGAGCACTTGATTAATAATGCCTTCCAGCCCAAGTACACAAGAGAGAGAGAGACACACAGAGAGAAAGAGAGAGGAGAATAGGGTGTCCTCTACCTGCCCTAAACCTCTGGGGATTGTGGAATTATTGGGTGAAGATAATGGATCAGGAGGTTAGGGGAGAAGGCCTGAGAAGTACAAACCTTGCAGGGGATCTTTGAAAAAGGGCGCGTATTATTCCTGCTGTAGTGTTGATCAATAGAAATAATCGGTCTATGTGACACGCTATGCACCTGACTGTAAATTTGAGGTTGATAAATCCGCACTTGACCAAAGAATTGAATATCCACGCTGGTAATTGAAATCACCAAAGACAGATGTTCCTCATTAGAATCCACGTTGAGGTAAACATCCTAATAATTCTGAACCAACAAAGGAGAGGCTCCTACAAACACTAAAAGTCACATTCCGTCAGGGAGGCCAGAAATCAAGACTCGGCGGCGTAATGAAGGAGCCGTAAGACTGCTGACATCAGCCAGCAATTAGGTGCAGACTGCTGGCTGACTGGCACCTTGTCTAGGAAAAATTATGGGAGTGTGTGTGTGTGTGTGTGTGTGAAAGAGACAAATCAAGAGAAAGACAGCAGCAGAAAAACAGGTTGTGCACTGGGAGAATAGGCAAGATATCCCCCAGCACACCCTAATGCTTTCTCTCTCTCTCTCTCATAATTAGATTTAAAAAAATACATACGTGCAGCAGCCTCTCATATGTGGTGCTCGGTCGACTCAAGGCTCTCTGTGGCGTCTCCCTCTGTTCCCTTTCTTCTCCTTTGTTGCCGTCCGTCCACACACTTCTACTGTTTTATCTCTACCCCACTCGTTTTTCTCCCTCATTTAGCCTCCTACTCACAAAGGGCCCTCTCCTCCCTTTTATCTCTCACTGTTGTTTCTCCACTCCGGAAGCAAGAACAAGGAAAAGCAACGCGTCAGTCGCTGCCGCCGCACAGTGAGATCGGGACGGAGAAGCCACTGAATCGGTCCTGGAGAGATGTGAGGGCGACAGGGCGTGATGGCTGCCGGCTGTTTTTAAGGGGCTGGACTTTCAATGTTGTGTATTATGTTCTGAGGAAACAACATGGAAGACCTCTGAAGATAAAACACACTAGTATTGCTGTGCTCTGCAGGGATGTGCAGCTGACGTTTTTAACATCATTTCTTGCGAATGCACAAGGGCGCTTTAACTTCTTCAATTGGGTATTACTTCACTCTTTTGTTGCAGCGGTCTCATGACTGTCATGGCCTAGTTTCCAAGTTGCTCCAGCTTTATAGCAATGCCAAAAGCCATTAGGCACAATTTTGTAACAGCACAAAAACAGCAACAACCCGTTTGCCCGTTTCTTTTTAAGTTATTGTAATATTTCCTCTTTCTCACAGGGTCGATATCTCCGGCTTTTACTCCCGTCTCTTCTTCTCTCTGCGGTTAACCGCTACCCTGCTGCTGACAGCGAGCCTCTGAGAGCACTAAAACAAAAGCAATAATAAGCTGCCGAAGAAAGTTTGATGGGAAATAGGTCCATGCAAGAATGTGCATGCATATCGAGTTGTCAATTTCCCATAACCCTCCAATCAGGGACTACTTGTGATTAATGGTATTCTTTCTGCAGAGAGAAATGGTGCCTGACAGGTGGTAAAGAGCCAGCTTGTTTCACTTCATCACAACGGATAAAATCCTGGCTCATTTTGTTGACTTCAACTGTATATATATAGAGTGAGTGAATTACAAGCAGACATCTGGACAGAGACATGTGCAACTTATTACCGGCAATATTTAATCTATAAAATTAACTATTAACCTATTAACTCCACCCATCTGCCAGGAAAATTGCTGCCAAATTGCACTTTCATTCAGGAAAAAAAAACAGAGATACATAAATCCACACAAGCATACACAATCACAATGCACGCCCACTAACTTGTGTTTCTTGAGCGAGAGCCCCATGTGCTGCTTCATCTGCTGCATGCCGTGGTAGTCGGTGTAGATGAGGTCAAAGGGCAGTGGGCCGGTCAGTGGGCAGCTGCCTCTGCCTGGGGGCACACCGAGGAACCTGCCACACGGAGAGGAAAAAAAAACAAGTTTAGACAAGCAGGAAAACACAGCCCACAGATTTTTTTAACCACGAAAATAGCGTGAGCACAAGGACCGTGGTGCAAGCATTCATTATTCACTCTTTAAAAACGGTAGAAGGTAAACATTGTATGCTGGCAGTTTATTTTTATTCTTTTCATTTTGCGGTTTCGCCCCTTTGCTGGAGTATGTTTATGTAGAAAAAAGTGTTTATTGCAATTTTATCATGTATTTTTTTCTGCCAAACTCTTTGTATTGTATTGCGTTCAGTGGTCATCAACCCAGACTCAGAGTGCCGAGTTCAGTCACACTGCCCGTGTTAGAGATCTTTATTATAATGGAGACCCCCTGATGTGATACTGTAAGGCTGTTCTATGAAGTTTGAAGTTCGGTAAATGCTTTTTTATGGACTATAATAACAAAATAATGACCCTGTTCCCTTTTCCTGTTGCTCACTGCTCCAGCTGCTGCTTTGAAAAACGGGTTGCGGGTAATTGTTCAACTCACTTCTAAAGTGGTAATTTTATTAGAGCGATGGAAATTGCATCGCAGCATCTAGCGCCAATTCCACATGCTGGACTGCACAGTACGCTGACTATCAGCATCTGCATTCATTTACACCTGACCACAGAGTTCATTAGCTCTGATGGCTCCGAGATGAATGCTTTTCCCGTCTGTTTAATAAGTCAACATCTCTGAATTAGTTCAATGACTTTAGCCATGCTAGCCGCGCCGCTTAACCCAATAGCAGTCTGTTGATTGCGTCAAACCACTCCAGGAAATGGAAAGTGTCGGATGGAACGTCGTGGCATGGAACAGACTCGACAAAGTGCGCCAGCTCCGAACAATTAACTCCATCAGCAAAATATCCTGTTAGATTGGCAGCTGATCTGTCTCCACACCACGGGGGGTGACGGCTTCCAGGACAAAAACACGGCCAGTAGGTTTTTCTGAGAAAATGCACTAGAAGTAAACATGTTTAGGATGCATGCCTGTTGAACAAATGAAAGCCCATAAGCCCGGAGCTGTTAAGCTCAACCCGCTGAGCTACACACAGACATGAGTGAGAGAAACAGACTGTATAGATGGCTGCTTGATGCCAGAGTTTTGGCCCAGCACGAAGAGGAATTTAAACCAAGATCCACTGTTGAGGTAATGCTTTGCATTGTATGTGATCTGATTAAGAGATCTGGATGACTGCGTGACAAAGTCACCTAACAAGGTGATGTCAAATAACCAAATACCCATCAGTGTTCATCTCCCCTTGTTCTTGTAAACGTTTCTCTATATCAAAGTAAAAGTGTGTTTCCGATGGTATCGTGTGTGTTATGCCGACTTCAATCAAAGTCAAACCAGGTAGCACCGGGGAGGCCTTTGGCAAAATGTAATTCAAACCAACAGGATGAAGAGAGCTGAATGCATAATGACATGGATGAACTGAACATTACTGCAGCACCAACAGATGGTACATGGGTGGAGGAACAGGGACCAGTGTAACAGATGTGTTGGGTTAGTGCACGTGTCTGTCAGGTGGATAACTGTATGTATAAGTGTTAGTATGATGTACACCTACTGAGATGGTATACACACACACACACACACACACCAGAATAACACAGAGTACAGAAGGTGTGTGAAGGGTGTAATGTATTGTGTGCAGCTTCCCATTCTGGTTTGGCCTCTCTGTTACCATGCCGACCTGTGAGTAGACCGCTAGCTCTTACTTAGCTCTTATTTCCAAGACAGATAAGGCCAAAGGCTAATGGAGGTCGTAATGCGATTCGTACCCCTGGTGAGTTTCCCCTGCTATGTTAGCTTTACGCTGGAGTCTTTTTGGCTGCACTGCTCCGCCGAAGGGTCACTGAATAATGGTGTGCAGTAGCACTTACATGAGCTTCTAAAACAGCTTCTAAACAGCACAAAACAGCAGCGAAAATACAAAAGACGACAGATTTTGATGGAGTCATTGAAGTGAAAAATGTACAACTATAAACCGACAACTGCAGTGAAATGGATAGGACTGTCATACGGCTGTGGTGGAGGACTCAAGCGCAGACGACGGCAGGAGAACAAGGTGATAGAGGAAACAAAAAGGTCAGCAGCGGAGAGGAACACAAGCTAACTCAAAAGGAGCAAGTACATATCCAAAATTAAAGGTGAGGAACCGACTATCAGACATGGGACACAAATGGTTTGAATCCACTGGGAGGTGTGGGGGATTTGACACAGGAGGATTCAATCAAGGCCGAGGCAGACACACCGGCAGAGAACACACCAGGGCAGGAGGTTAAGTTCACCCAGGAGCACAAAGTGTGACAAGGCTGGTGTGCCAAGATGAATGACGACTGTGCAAAGTGCAATTATGACCTCATCACATTTTAGGATCTGTGTCTGTGTCTTCACCACTGAAAATTATGGTTTGTTTTCAGTCCACTCAGGGGAGTGGACTGACCCTGAGGTCACAGCAAACTTGACTTTTTTACCTCCAGAATCCAATTACATCCATGTGTCCAAGTGGACTTTTGTACCTGATATGAAGACATTCATGTCAGGCGGTGGTGAAATATCACGTTCATGAGAATGGGCCGTAAGGCAATGCCTCCACCTACGACTGCTGCCGGTGCGGAGGCATAAAAAACTGTAATTCACAATGATCCCGGCATCATCTCTGATTATTCGTTGCAGAAATAACATAGTATGCATAATTCCAGCGATGCTGGCCGGGATGATTCAAAAGAATGATTGAAAAAAAACAAGGAAGATAGACAGAAGGACAGAAAGAAAAACAAAGACTGAACCAACAGCTGAGAAAAGCGCAGCATGGGCGAATACTTCTGCTCCTTATTGCTTTCCACCAGCAGTGCGTTCATCTCATTCTTCTCCTCCGATCATTGGTCAAGAGTGGAAATGAGTATAAACTAACCAGGTATTAATTCCACGTTTCTGCCAATACGTGCACACGACAATACGCACCATCTTGATTTCAACTCAACATTTCCACACTGTGGCGTCATCATTTATCGACGACGATAAAGCATTAATGACTTTTTCCCAATCAATGACTGACATCGATCATCACTTAACCTTTATTTCACACTACCATGGTCTGAAAGTGTACATGTGGAGATTTATGTGGATCGATGATGTAATACTGCTACTTTATTTAATGTGTCTTAGCCTCCATTGTCATTGGATTTGTTCATTTAACTACAGATAGGGACTTAAGATATATAATAAAAAACAATAAAAAACAAAAAAAAACCTTAGAAAACAGCCTTACACCCTTAAAGCCCTTTAAAAAGAATTGAAGAACATTTTCATATCTTCATTTCATATGTTCATACTCGTTCCGGAGACGCAGTTTTAGTCTCAGTCAATGCTAACAGTTCATTTCAGTTCAAGCTCATGAGACCTCTGATAAGATTGGAAAGTGCATTGATGAAAACAGGACCCCACAACTGGCCAAAAGTAGAAAACAATTCAAATTAGAACAGCCATAAACTAACTTAAATCCTAAAATGCAGAATGAATGCAGCGTTATTATTACTCCAAAGGTATTCTCTTTTTTAAATCCTTAAAGTTACCATAGAGTCATAGAGCACATTGTCTGTATAAACAATGTAGTGTTTTAAATGTAGAGTATGAAGGATGATATGCAGAAAGGACCCTGTGCAGAGGTTGAACACAGACATCTCTAATGCACACAAACACACATACACACAGGATGGCAGCTGTCCCAAACACAATTTGAGTGCCACGCAGGGCCACACAGGAGTCCAATTACCCAAGGTTCTCTTGTCTGAGGGCTGGCATCAAATCAACAAGCCCTCAAAATGAACACACCCACACACACAATCGCCACGCACACCATGGAGTATGAGGACACATGGGTGACGTAGGCAGAGGAGCACTGTGCCGTTTCTTTTTTTACTTTAAACTCTTTTCTCTTTCAGTATGCGAACAATCTACAGAATCACAGTGCAATGCTGTGTGTGCACGTGCGATTGTGCTTTGTGTGATTGAGTGTTACTGGTTATGTTTTCCTGTCCCTGGTACTATATAGCTATTCCATTCAATACCAAATGACTGTATTGATCTCCTAAGGAGCAATTTAGCAGGCTGTTATGAGACGCACAATAGCACAATATGAGCAATAACACAGTGTGTGGCTAGTGGAGAGTTAATAGGTGTATGAGTATGTGTGTGTCTCTGTAAAGTAGAGCAGAAATACAGATATGTTATGCTTTTCCCCTCCAGCTCTATACCAATTGTATGATTTAATGCACAAGTCTACGCCTCTCTGACCAGTGTGTGTGTGTGTGTTTGTGTGCGTGAAGATCCATACTGGCCGCAGGGATGTGTGTACCTAGTGCGGGTAGAGTTTGTGAGCGTGAGTGCATTTCCACATAATTCAAGTGTATGCGTGACGTCTGTGTGTGTGTTCGTCTGCATGACACAGAAGTTGAAGGGCACTTTTAAATCGGCGCTGACAGCTAATGTCCTCCCCACCGGCCCGGCAGGCAGAGGGCGAGCCGGGTCAACGGTGCAGAGTGGATGGAAGCAGCTGAGACCGCGTCGAGCTCTGCTCTCGGGTTGTCACGCTGCCAAAACGGTGACTTTTTTTTTTTTACTGTACCTCAATATTTAGGGTAAAAGTAATGCAATAATAGATGAAAGAAAATGGCTATGAATAAATGAATAAATAAGAGCAAACGTGGTACGAGGTAATCTGATGTCCCCTATGAGTTTGAGTTATTGAGTTCATGTGATTTCTTGTTATTGTCAAATTTGCACATGAAACATTTAAAAAGGATTGTTTGGACAAAAGCGTACAAAAGAAAACAAATACAGGAAAAATAAATAATTTATTGGTGACAGTAATAATATAAACGTTATATAACTGCACATCTTGAATTTTAAGTTGCATATTTCAGCCATAAAAAAGTTCAATTTTTAAACCGGTGCAAAATGTCACAGAAA